TAGCTTTTATTGACTTACCTCGATTCCTTTATCAACAAGTTCACCGATTTTGTTATGCATAAGCCGCTTCACGTGCGGATGGAAACGAAACACAGAACCATCAACACCGACTGTGACTGGATATGGTCGCCTCATGCGATTCAGCACCTGCGCTATACCAGCTGCCACTAAGTAGGCTGCTCTGTAACGGATAACATAACAACATAACATAAGATTTCACAGTCAAGCCAGTCCATATGATCATAAGTGTTACACAAACTGTCCGCTTTGCCGTCTTCATCTTGAATGTTCGAAACAAACACCGTCTAGGTGAGTTTTCATAATGTTTTTATTTCTCTCTCTAGGTATGAATTTCCATGTAATGTGTAAGCGGTAAAAATCGTTTCGTCTCTTGTGGTTTTACAACCGGAAATCCACGGTGGGGACGGCAAAACGCGCATTGTGTGCAGTGACAAATACGATCATATGTAATGCGACTGTAAGCTTCCTTAAGGCTATATACAGAAAACGATTTTGAAGTGCACAAAATCTGGATTCAAGCGATTCATGCGAACCATAAACAGATACATCAACATCATCATGGGAGTACAGTAATATACAAATTTTGTATCACATCCAAGCTAATTTTCACAAAAAGACCTTACCTAGTACTAACTACGGTGCATATATAAGCAACGTGTATGCAGTCATCTTCGCTGACATTCTTCACGCCAATTTCTTTGAGCATTTCACGTGTTTTCGTGAAGGGTTGAGATTTTCCTCCTTTTTCCAGCTCACTAAAACGGAAATAAAGAACATCAACAAAGGGAACTATGCTGCAGCGCTGAAGCTGCCTGCATGGGGTTTGAGATGTGGGATCTGAAGATTTATTTTTGCTTTTAAACGGTTTTTCACTCAAGTTTCTTATTTTGGCCTTTTTGCTCTACCCCGCTTTCGATTTTGGCGAGGAACTCCCGACTTGAAGCGGGTTTGAACGAGCTGCGTACTTCTGCTCTGCGTATCCGACAAGATGTGGTTCTCGCGATCGTCCATTCTGTTTTCGTTTTATTTTCGTTCAGACCTATTCCATCGAACCGTGGCAGCGCAGCGATTTCCAAGAAATCGCTACGCTGCCACAGTTCGCTAGAGATCGGGAATTTGTTCAGTTTCCTGATGTGTTCTACTATTGCGATTTCGCATCCTTCCTTTTTCGATTTTGTTGCTTATTCGTTCATCCTTCCAACCTGCTTCTCCTTTTGAAGAGTACAGTTCGGAACATGAAGCGGATTGGAGAATGAA